CATAGTCCCCATGGACATGTCAGTCCGAGACTTCGGTGTGTTGTATGTCTTTGTGGATATCCGGATAGATACTGCCCACCTTCTGGACTCGGTCCGCCTCACCTTTACCCCAGGCAGCTCACTCGCTCTGGTCAGCACCATTCAGTTTGTGTCAACTCTGCAGGTAAGTAGGTCAAGGGTTGCTAGAATCCACTGGGGTAGAGAAGGTACTCCAGGGTGCTCCTGGCTCCTGTGCCTGGTGCTCTGGGCTCTTCCTCTGGCCCTGGCTTTCTCCCAGCTACTTGTTTCCCTTCCTTCCTTATCGACACAGGCAGCTGCACAAGAGCTGAAAGCTGAGTATTGTGTCAGTGTCCCACAGTGCAAGCCCCTGTCCCCTGGGGAGATCCTAGGCTGCACATCCCCTCGACTACCCAAGGAAGTGGAAGCTGTTGTGTAAGTGAAAAATGGAGGCTAGTTTGTAGAGACATACAAAACACAGGGAAGGAACCTGAGGCTCGTGATGCAGGAAAAGAGGCAGGGTCTACACTCCTAACCTGTGTGCTCAAGGTCACCTTGCAAGATGGGGCCCGAGTGGGAACTACACTCCACTGCGTACACTTCAGGTACCTTCCCTCGTTCCATCCTTCATCCGGAAGGCTATGCCTATGGTGGAGACAGAACTCAGAAGGCCTGATGGGGGGATCAGGATGGATAGAAATGGAGGGAATATAATTGGAGAAGATGGATGGGCACGCCCAGGCTGCAGCCCCATTAATTTAGCATCCGGACAGCTAACAAGCAGGAGCAGCGTGTCTCCTGCCGCCTAATTATTTTAGGTAATGGAAATGCTTAATGTTGTGTGAATGCAGGCAGCCTCAGAGCCCACAGCTCCTCTGGCTGGGACTCTGGAAGGGAGTCCTTTCCTAGCTAATGGCTAGAAACGTGGGAGGGCCACTGTGACTCAGCCCCACCCCAGGGAGCTTTGGGTATTGCTCCCCCACGTAGGGTGCTCCTGCCCTTAGGCCCCGCTCCCCAAGGACCACTCCCTATATGCATGTGCCAGCATGATGGATGCCCATCATTTGGGGTTTCAAGGTAGTGTTGAGGGGGATGTCCTGAGTGTGGGCTCTGGACTCTCCAGGTCCCAGAAAGGTACTATGAGAAAGTGTACCTACAAGGGTATGTTCAGTGAGGCCAAGTGAAGCCTGGTATTAAATCTCAGATACACTGCTTGATAGTTGTGTAGCTTTGAGCAAGTGGGTTTTTGTTGTTGTTTGTTTTTGAGACAGGGTTTCACTATGTAGCCTTTGCAGTCCTAGAATTTTCTGTCTAGCCTCAGATTCATAGAAATCCCCCTGCCTCTGCCTCCCAAGTGCTGGAATTAAAGACACCAGCCACCAGTCGGGCAGTGGTACCACATAAGTTCAAGGCCATCCTGGTCTACAGAGAGGATTCCATGACAACACAGGCTACACAGAGAAATCCCAGTCTCAAAAAAAAAATTAAAAAACAAACAAACAAAAATGGACATGCCTTGAGCAAGCATATTAAAGTGTAGGTGTTTTAATGGGTTAGTCCAAGCCTGGAAATCAGAAGACCAGGAAATAGCAGTTGTTATAACTCAGCACTCGATTCAAGAGTAGCCTCTGTGCACCCTAGAACTTCCTCTTTGGCCAATATAACATACATTTAAATTTTTTACATCTTTATTTATTATTTTGGATTTCTGAGACAGTTTCCCTGTGTAGTCCTAGCTGTCCTGAACTCACTCTGTAGGCCAGGCTGACCCTCAAACTCAGAGGTCTGCCTGCCCCTACCGTCCTAGTGCTGGGATTAAAGGCGTGCGCCACCACCGCCTGGTGGGCCATCACCACCGAACTGCCTCATTTTTATTGTATGCATGTTTTACCTTCGTGTTCGTCTGTTTGCTACGCATATGCCTGGCCCATGTGGAGCTCAGAAAAGGGCTCCTGTAGAGTAGGAGTTACAGACAGCTGTGAGCCACTTTGTTGGTGCTGGGAATTGAACCTAGGTCCTCTGAAAGAGGAGCCAGTGCTCTTGACCAATGAGCCCTGACTATAGATAACATCTTGAACACAACTTCTTATGTGTGTGTTGTTGAGCCTGGTAAAAGAGAAACTGTCCCTCGGCTTTGGGCTTTGAACTTAGGCTCTCCTGAACCCAGGTGCCTTTTGTTGGCCTTGGCACTTCTGTACTTTTCCCACAGAAGAAAGGGGTTTCTGAGGCATCTAAGTCCAGCTCCTTACTGTACATATGAGAGCCTTTCGGTGAACTGAGGCCTCTCTCAGCAGCATTTGGCTAGACTCAGTCCTCTGCACCTGTAAGCCAGGGCACCCAGTGCTACCCCAAACCACACTCATGCTCTTCCACCCTGCAGGTATCTTGGAGATGGCCGCTTCCACCTGGAGTCTGTCATGATTGCCAACCCTAATGTCCCTGCTTACCGGTATGGGCTGAGAAGGGCCGACCATCCGTGGTGGGGAGGGCATCTCTGCCCTGGAGGCCCCCAGGAGGCTGTTCCACATTCCCTGTTAACTACATGGCAGTCATCCCTAACTGAGGCACATCTGGAATTTAGACCCAGGACTGTTGTTGCCATCCGGGGAGTCATACTAAGCTCCTAAAACACCCCCTGTAGGGCAGATCTCCTCCGTAACAATTCTCACTCCTGCCTGGGGCCAGATTTCCTCCTTTCTTTTTTTTCAGATTCCTTAATTACTTGCTTAGATCCTATGTCAGGAAACCACTTAGACAGTGTGACTCTGCCTGTCCCATGACCCTGGCAACTCTTCCAGGTACGACCCGTATAGCAAAGTCCTATCCAGAGAGCACTACGACCATCAGCGCATGCAGGCCACTCGGCAGGAAGCCATTGCTGCTGCGTGCTCAGCCAAATCCTGGGGCCTTATTCTGGGAACTCTGGGCCGCCAGGGTAGTCCCAAGATCCTGGAGGTGAGGGGGCTCAGCATCAGAAGGACAGGGCTGACAGGAAAGTAGCTGGAGTAATCTGTAAGCCAAAGTATCTAGCTTTGGCTGCTTTTCACAGCTTTCTTCTCCCAACAGCACTTGGAATCTCGGCTCAAAGGCTTGGGACTTCCCTTCGTGAGGCTTCTGCTCTCTGAGATCTTCCCCAGCAAGCTCAGTCTACTTCCCACGGTGGATGTGTGAGTTCTTCCACCTTTCCTATGTAGGGTGACCAGCTAAAGGGACCTTAGAAACTAGGTCCTCCTAGCATGGACTTCAGGCAATAGTCAAACGGGAATTGCATATGTGGTCATGAAATTTTAGTATTTATCAAGCACCTTTCTAGCATGGGCCACCTACTTTGTCTGACCATCATAGTGTGGTGGGATGAGTTTTAGTGTCCTATGTACAAACTTTGGTTTCAGGGGTGGGGTGGGGGGAGTGACTACCCACAAATGAATTCTCCCTAGAAAGCTCTCAGGGGACTAGGGCTATTGGAATAAAGGTCTGATGGCCTGAGTTTGGTTCACTTAAGGTGGATTTTTTTTCTTTTCTTTTCTTTTTATTCTTTGAAATAGGGTTTCTCTTGTGTCATTGCTCTTGGAACTTGCTTTGTAGACCAGGCTAACCTTGAATTCACAGAGATTGGCCTGCCTCTGCCTTTTGAGTGCTAGGATTAAAGGCATGTGTCACCACTGCTTAATTGGACTTATTTTCTTTTCCATGTGTGGAACTGTAGTGGCCACCCTTAGGTGCTGTCCATATACTTTCTCTCCTCTCCCTCTCTTTCCCTCTCTTTTACGAGCCTGGGTCTCTCACTGACCTGGAGCTTGCCAGGTAGGCTGGTTTGCAATCCACCTGTCTAGGCCTCCCAAGTGCTGGGGTACAAGTGTATATGCCCCCTCTCCCCAACACACACCTTTTTAGCGCAATGGTTCTGGGAGTTATCTTCCCAACAGTATAGTACTTTTAACAATAGAATCAATACATCCTGTTGACAAATGGTCATGCTCTTCAGTGTGGTACCTCAGAGAGAGGTGGAATCCAGGTCAAGTCTTACTAACTTCCCTTCTTAGGTGGGTGCAGGTGGCATGCCCACGCCTCTCCATTGACTGGGGTTCAGCCTTTCCCAAGCCACTGCTGACACCCTACGAGGTAATAACCACATTTGGAAAATTTTTACGAGGGTTGTGAGATGGTTGTCCTGGGTGAGCATGTTCCGAGGTTGAGCCACCATCTTGCTGTGTAACTTTTTTTGGTTTGTACTTAACACTTGGTCTATAATAATTGGTAGTAGCCTAGTCTGGCCGCAATTTACGGAGTGCTGGGAGGCAAAGAGCCACCACACTTGAGTGGCTGTGTAAATGTGAGTTTCCTCACCTCACATTTCCTTTTTGTAGTATTTATTATATAACAATAATTATATAATACCCTCCTTAGACTGTTAACATTTGCAGACACAAAAAAAAATAGTATTGGTATCTTGTTTTTTTTTTTTTTTTTTTTTTTTTTTTTCCCCTAGGCAGCGGTGGCCCTGAAGGACATTTCATGGCAGCAGCCCTACCCCATGGACTTCTACGCCGGCAACTCCTTAGGGCCATGGACCGTGAATCACGGTCGGCACCCTGGACCTCGTGGTCTCGGCCAGCCGGCATCCGGCAAAGTAGGTGGGGACTTTAACGATGGCGGAGCCAGCGACGTGAGCCATGGCCGCCGCCCTGAGGAAACCGGGGGAAATGCAAGGTTGCCGCGTGGAGGTCGCCTTAGTGAGACCTGGATTTGTTGGCTACCTCAGGTGCAGCAGGGTTTCAGAGGCCAGTCTCCAGCCCCAGCCTGTGAGGGTTGCAGCTGTGCGGACCAGAAGGCTGCACCGCCGGCTCCCTAAGGTCTCGCGTCGCAGGTATTTGCAGCCACACCCCACCTTTTTGTCTTAGGAGTGCCCGCCCTCCCCGAGGCCCCGCCTTCTGGGTGTTGTCGGATCGGACCACGCCCCTCGCAGGTTCCACTTCCGTCCGGGGAAGGTCTACTTCCTGTGGCTCTGCGGTATGGCTGCACGGCAACCCCTGAGAGTGCTGTGCCTGGCGGGCTTCCGGCAGAGCGAGCGGGGCTTCCGCGAGAAGACTGGAGCGCTGAGAAAGGCGCTGCGGGGCCGCGCAGAGCTCGTGTGCCTCAGCGGGCCGCACCCGGTCACCGAGGCAGCAGCTCCCGAGGGCGCCGGGCCAGACTCCGGTGAGACAAGCCTGCTCCGGCAGTCCCTCGCATCTTGCCGGTCCCCTTAACGCACTCAGTTCTCACGCAGCTCCTTTTTTTTAAAACTCGGGCACCAGTCTGCGCTTCCAGATTTTTCCTTTATCTGAATCCAGTCCGTACCAGGTCTCGTTCCCCTCTCCCCAAGTCTCCTGGTTGCATCCTTCCCAAGCTTTGCCCCCTCTCTTTCTTCCCTGGTCCCCTCTAACCCCGATCTTGTTCTTTTATGTTTCTAGGGCTCTGTGTTCCGGAGGAGCAACCTCGAGGCTGGTGGTTTTCAAAACAGGAAGCAGATGTTTTCTCCGCGCTGGAAGAGCCTACAGCATGCAGGGGTTTGGAGAAGGCCCTGGAAACTGTGGCACAGGCCTTGGACACGCTGGGACCTTTTGACGGACTCCTTGGCTTCAGCCAGGGGGCTGCACTAGCTGCTTTTGTGTGTGCCCTGGGTCAGGCAGGCGATTCCCGCTTCCCCTTGCCGCGATTTATCATACTTGTGTCCGGGTTCTGTCCCCGAGGCCTTGGCCTTAATGAATCTATCCCACAGAGCCCCTTGCCACTGCCTTCGCTTCATGTTTTTGGGGACACTGATCGAGTCATCCCTCCTCAGGAGAGTATGCAGTTGGCTAGCCGATTCCTTGGAGCTGTCACCCTCACGCACTCTGGAGGTCACTTCATTCCAGCAGCTTCGACTCAGCGCCAAGCCTACCTCAAATTCTTGGACCAGTTTGCAGAGTGAAGGATCAACAAATGTCTCTGGACTGCTTGCCCTAGCAGCCAAGTTGTCTAATCCCCTCCTGTCCTTAACCTAGTGCCACTCTTAATGTGCCTAGTTAAAAGGCAACTGTCAGTTCTCAGGACTCACATAAACCCTGCCCTTTACTGGAGCAGAGAGGAGCAGGCAGCCTTAGACGTTCATTTATGGTAAACATGAGAAGGCCTGAAAGCCCTTCAAAGTGATGCACAAGCAGGGGCTGGCACTCCTATGACAGACAATAAAGTGATGATTTAGATAGTGAACATGTTTTTCCTGGTATACAGACCCCCAGGGGCAGCACCAAGCTAAGAATTACTTGCAGTTGAGAGCCCCAAACACATTTTTAGTGGAAGTAATTTTTTTTTTTATTGTTTTGTGTCTTAGAATTTTCTGCTTATTTCATGTGTGCATGGGTATATGCAAAACAATGTGGGTCTAGGGGGGATCTCTTATCAGTCTTGGCAACTCATGCCTTTATCTGCTGAGCCATTTCACCATCCTTTTGTGGAAGTCTTAAGTCCCAAACTAAAGAAGCCAGAGGTGACTGAGTCAGTTTTTACATCTGAGGAGCCTGGGGAAAGAGAACACTTGGCAAGGCTCTACCTGGATTACCAGCTTTTCTTAGATCCTGATACCTGAAAATTGGGACTTGGTTTTCTTTTGGTCCCTGGCTCTGTTACTTTTCTCTTCCATAACTGCCCCATCTCTTCTGAACTCTGAACTTGAAATTACCAGATGTTAGATAGAGGCCAAAGACAACACAAAATGAACTGCCTTTTCTTAAGGAGCCCTCTGCACTGTTTCTGAGTTTAGTGATATGCATAATTGGTAATGCTAATTATCATGAGAAAGCCTAAGCAGACTGACTGATTTGACCTTGGGAAGTATAGCCAGTCTTAGCTCTTTAAGGATTGCCCTCAGCTGGGCATTGGTGGGTGGTGCATACCTTTACTCCCCCCACTCAGGAGGCAGAGGCAAAGGGATCTCTGAGTTCAAGACCAGCCTGGTCTACAGAGTCAGTCTGCTTAGGCTCCAAAACTACAGAGAAACTGTCTCCAAAAAAAAAGCCAAAAAAAAAAAAAAAAAAAAAAGAGATAAGGATTGCCCCCTCACCATTTCCTTATTTTAGTGCCCACTCCAGCCACGCACATAGACACTCTTCTGCTTTTTCTAAGACATCAAATGGTCCTAATCTTAAGCCATGGTATCCTCTAGGGAGCTTTGTAACTGAGCAGGAGTTGGGGCTGGTACAGATACTCCAAGTCATCTTTGCCGTAATCACATCTGTTACCCAGAGTTACATGTTTCCTGACACAGAAGTGTTTCAAGGTATAGTCTGAAGGGGGCTGGTGAACTGGCTGGGTGGGGAAGAACACAGGCTGCTCTTTGGGGGGACCCAGGTTCAGTTCCCAGCACCTACATGGCAGCTCACAAACATCTACAATTACTTCCAGAGGCTCTAATCCCAGGTTTCAGCATGTACATGGTATATACTTTAAAAAAAAAAAAAAGTGACCCAATGGCCAGGGGTGGAGGCACATACAGGCAGAGGTAGGAGGATCTCTGACTTTGAGGACAGCCTGATCTACATAAACTCTTTTCACAAATAAACATTAGATGACTGGAAGAGTCTGGCCAAGTGTTCCCTTTCCCCAAAGTTCCCAGTTGTAAAATCTCTGAGTCCACCAGGCCTCTGGCTTCTTTAGTCTGGGACCTCCACTAAAGGGACTGTGAGGTGGCATTGGGACTGAAGAGGTAAAGGCATTGGCTGCTTAAATACGAAGATAAACCTCATACACATTGAAATTAAAAAAAAAAAAAAAGACTGGAATTATATCCAAAGGCCTGGTTTACTGGTTTTAGAAACTTTTGCAATAAAGCTGGGGGGTGGGGGGGAATTGGTCTCTGCCTTGCTCTAGACTTCCAGGAGTTGCTTCCTTGACAAAAGATTGCCACAGATGGGATTACTCCTATAAACCAATTGGCTTTGGGCCATTAGTAGTCTTTGCTTTTCTGTAAATAGATGGATCTACAAATCAGTAAGCACTCAGATTCTTTGGCAGTCATAGGCTGCCCCCTTTAGGTGGGCTCTGAGCTGAGGATGGATGACTTGCATTCCTTGGGAGTCCTCTGAATAGAGATCCATGTGAGTGGTCCTTAGGCTCAGAGTAAGTGAAACAAGTGCTCATGCTTGGAGTAAAGATTCCTCCTGAGAATCAGAATGGCTCTGACTGCCAACAAGTGTGGTGTCGCCTCTCACCATGCAGACTGAACCCCAATCCTACCACATGCACACCCTGTGGACCTCCTACATGAGGAGCATTTGTTAAATTTGGAACTCCCAGAGCAAACTACAGATCTATGTGACAAACTATCCCTGGTCATTACTGAGGCAGGTATTTGAAAATTATAGCCTTGGGTAGAATTTTAAGCCTCTGGTAAATATGTGTTATTAGGAAAGCATCTCTGATGTGACTCAACCCTCTGGGGAGGAAAGACAACAGGTCCCCTGAGGAATCACTGTTCTAAGATTTTCAAATTAGTGGGGTGGGCATGATGGCACAAGCCTTTGATCCCAGCACTGCGGAGGCAGAGGCAGGTGTATCTCTGAGTTCAAGGCTAGCATGTTCTACAAAGCAAGTTCCAGGAGTACTATATAGACAAACAATCACTGTTGGGTTTTTTGTTTTGCTTTTTGAGACAGGGTTTCTCATAGCTTTGGAGTCTGTCCTGGAACTTGCTCTGTAGACCAAGCTGGCCTTGAAATCACAGAAATATGTCTGTCTCTGTCTCTGGAGTGCTGGGATTAAAGGCATGCACCACCACTGCCCAGCTAGAAACACTACCAACAAAAACAAAAAGTACTTTTCAATTTATAGCCCTGGCAAATAAGAGCCAGGGGCTAGAAGTAAGATTTATTGAGAAATAACTATGTCAGACAATGGAACAAATAGGAGCCTATCGTCTAATTTATTTTTGAGACAGGGTCTCACTGTAGTTCTGGCTAGCCTTGAACTCACAGAAGTCCACTTATTTCTAAGCTCCCAAGTTCTGGGATTCAAAAGCATGCATGGCTTAACTCATTCATTTTTGGTGCCACAGGTCAAATCCCGGACCTTGGGCATGCTAAGCACAGATTGTACCACAGAGCTCTATGCCAAGCCCACCCCCTTATTGCCTAATTTCATTTTGTAATGTCATTAAGTCAGTACTGTTATTAATCTAATAACATTTTTACAGTTGAGGAAACAGGCACAGAAAGGCTAAGTACTTACTCAAGATTGGATGATTCAGATCCAAAAGTTCACATTCTTGCCTGTTGCCATTACTTGCCTGCCTCCTTGTGGTTGAAACACAGAGCATCTTACTATATTTATTGCCCAGGCTAGCCTGGAGATTCTCGGATCAAGGACTCTCTTGTTTCAGCCTCCTGAGTAGCTGGAACTGCAAGTACATACCACTGCTCCTGGCTTTGGCTGTTTCTCTACTTCCCCATAGAAAGCAAGCAGAAATTACCACGCACAATAGGCTAAATGCCCAGCTTGGGCCTCAGCTTTCCAATCTGTAAAATAAGTCGGGGAGGAAAGCATGGTTTGCACTAAATGCTTTCTAGGATACCAAACAATCGCAGGATCGTATAGTCAACCATCTGACCATGTTCTTTTGGTGGGTCTTCATAATATCCCTACCATTTGTTTTATGCCTCGATTACACCTGAGATTTCTAAAGCTCTGGGGAAAGACAGTACCCTAGCAGAGTCCCTCAACAGTCTTAGCCATAGAGTACCTTACCTTCAGCCTCTGTGGTACTCCTTTTTAGGGCGCATTGGAGAAGCGTGAATTGGATACAACACTTAGAGACCAACTGAAGGGAGAATGCTGGCTAATATGTTCGGACAAGGGACCAGATGAACCAGCTGTCCTGGAACTCGCTCTGGAGACCAGGCTGGCCTCAAACTCACAGAGATCCGCCACCACTACCCAGAAAGGGCCCTTTTAATCATCTTCCGTGGCTCAGGAGACAGTTGGGGGACAGAGTCATTAGGGAATCTGTAGCTCTAACAGGAAATGGATTCTTTGCCCTCTGCCCCTGCCTGTTCACATATGGGTTTCATGAAGAAAGGTGTGATAAACTTCCCTCTCCGCCCCCTTTAGTCTTCTGCAGGCAAATGTGTTTCCTCCTTCCTTCTTGAAAGACTCCTGATCTCTTCTGTTCTCCACCCCCGCCCCCAGGAGACAAGAATTCTTATCTCAGAACCCATTTTCTCGCCACCAGTCGCAGATACCTCGACTGGAAAAACCGGACAGTCACTGAGAAGGATGGTCAGACACTCCGCGGTCCTTGCTTGTTTCTGTGCCTGGGTGAATGCGCAGCAGCCTCGCAGGCCGCCTGTCTAAGCACACCTCCTGCCACCCCCGCTGACACATCGGATGTTGCGTCGCCGCCCCGCCTCCTCTTGCTCTGCATCTGCCCAAACCCGGGCTGACAGAACTCGGCGTGGTGGGGAGCGTGGGCGTGCTGCGGGGCGACCATGGCTGTAGACTGTTACCTCCGGTTCCCACAGTAACAATCGAAAGCCACGGTTGCCCTGGAGACGCGGGGGCGGGACTGTCAGGTTGACGTCAGCACCGCGGGCGGCGGGGGCTGTGCGAGTGTGTGCGGGACCAGCGCCCACAGCAGCCCACGGGGACCTTGGACGGGAGGGCCCGAGGGAGGCTCCTGGGCTGCATCAGCACCGCGGACAGCGGCGCAGGGAGGCGCGGAGGGGCCCGGGGTCGGCGGTCCTGGGGCGGGGCCAGGCGTCGGTGGCCGTGACTGGAGACTGTTACTGAGGGCGGCCCGGGCAGTAAGCAGTCTAGAGCCAAGGTGCCGGCGCGCTGCCCGGGCGGGGATGTCCCATCGCCCGCGGCTGGGGCGCTGCTGCTTCTCACGTCCCCCTCCGCCCAAGCGCGCGCGGACAGGCACGCGACCGTTGACGTCAGAGTCCTGTGACGTCAAAGATGTCCCAGCGGGGAGGCACTTCCGGCAGTGGGGTAGCGGTGGGGGTGGAGCGGGGCGGCCTGGCCGAAGCCCCGCCCCCGCCTGGTCCTGAGAGGACAGCTCCGCTCGCAGAGGCGGGAAGTCCTGGGCGCAGTGGGAC